CCGAAACCTGTTGCCTCGGCCATCGAGACATCCTTCGCCGCGGCGATGACCGCCTCTTCGGCCTTTTTTGCTGCAGCCCTGGCTCGTGCCACCTTCGCGAACTCCCCTAGTTCGATGTGGCGAATCCGATCGGTGAGGTCCCCCACAGTTGCGACAGCGTGTGAGGGCCTTGCACTCTGTTTCGGAGTGCATATTTGATCCGCAGTTCCAGCAAGCTGGAGCCCGGGAGCAGCTACGAGTGGCGTGGAAGCCCAAACAGCGTTTGCATTGTTCAATTGATCGACGAGGCTTGTGGATGGTAGCCATACCCGAATGGTCGACAAGGCGATCCAGGCCGACATGTCCCATGAGGTCGGACTTGGATTGGATACGCGCTGGTCGTAAGGAAGATCTCAGCGGTGACACTTGCAGTATTGGTCGCTACGGGGCCGTACTGTGAAACCATACTTACAGGTACGTTCGGTATCTGTAAGGCGACAAGATCCGAAGATGCTTCGAGTTTGGCGTTTTCACTTGCCAGCTTCGGAGAGACATCTAGGAACTCTTGTCGTATTTTTTCGTTCTTTGCTATTGTCTGATTAAAGTTCTGTATCATATCACGTGCCTTATTATCGTAATATTTCCTTATATAGAATAGCGCCGGGAATAAGAAATTGGCTCCCCAATGTAATTATTAGATGTTCCATAGGAGGGAGGGAGTTAGACAGGAATTAATTGATACCAATATTGTTACAACAAGCTTGTAACGAAACCCGTCCACTTGAAGTACTCCGACAGCTATAATAGCAAAGCCGGTCTTTACTCGATGAATCGAGGTTATATCATTGTGAGAGATTAAGCGTGTCCGCTACCTTACTTTTCACAATTTGTTTGAGAGATTCTGCCATGGGTGCTCTTTTTCCAGGCGAAGGAACAGTCGCTTATCGACTTTCGCCATGGGAGCTTCTTTCTTTTGGGCTTTCGCCGCAGGTCGCGGCACAGCCTTTGCTATAGGAACTGCATTTTGTCGCAGTCCATTTTTGGCTACCGTGGCCCAGGTGCTTTTTACAGGCAGCACTGGGACCGCGGGAATCGTTGTGCTCTTGGCGTCGGGAGCCCTTGGGAGAGGGTTCGCCGGGCAAGGAGGGAGGACGGGCGGCGTGATGGCCGGGCGCGTGGCCATATATTGCGCAATGGCGGCGCGTAAGTAGACTCTCATCGAGTCTACGAATTATCCATTTGACCCGTTGGTCAAAGGGAGAAGGGTGGCTTCGACGCCAGAGATGGCGGTGGAGCAGAGAGCCAGATTTGCCGCTGTTTCGGCGGCGCGTCGTTGTTCGGCTTCGACTATTGGTCGGAGCTCAGGAGGGCATTCTGCTTTCGACGCAGCTTTTGGCTGTGACGTTGAATTTGGCGCTGATATAGGTGCAGCATTTTCCGACGGTTTTGATGCGGTCGGAGAAGATTTTGACGATTCTCCAGTCCCGTGAGGGACGGAGGGTGGTTGAGGAATTTCCTCAACAGTTTCAACTGACCCGATCATGTCAGTATCTGGCTCAGTTACGGCGGAGAGGGCTTTTTACTTCCCTTTAGTTGAGACCTTGCTCATCCCCGCGCATTTCGGAGACTGGGCAAGGTCAGGTGATTTTTCGAGGGCCCTCGGGCGGACTCTCGTGTTGTCCAACTTGGCGTTGGGACGCTTTTTACAAGCTGGAGGCATGGTGAAAATGCCTACGCTCGATCACAATTCGAAGATGAATGCGACGAGATCGAGATAGGAGGAAAATGGGAATTTTCGAATTTCTCGAATTTTTTATTTTATTTTACATTTGGTCCTAAGTTAACGCTATCTTTTCCACATTGGGTCAAGGACCGGTGGAGCCGGCAAGGACCACTGCGTACAGGCCCAACTCATTCCAACCGCATGAACTTCTACTGAAATTGTAGAAGTTAACAGCAAAACTAAAATCAAAAACATAAATCAAAAACTGAAATCAAATTTGGAAGAAATACTGTTTGGTCCGGATCCCGCGCTTCTCGCCCGTTCCCTTTCCTGCCACATCTTCCACGTGACTTTTTCTTATCTCCGCTGAGAGCGAAAGATTAGTTCGCAGATAACCTGAATTCAGCTGGTATCCTGCTATATATTTTGAAGCTTTCTGTAGACTTCACCGAGGGTTGCTGTACCCTCAGACTTCTTCTTCGGATCCCAGGATTCCGAAACCCGATCCCTCGGCCATCGAGACATCCTTCGTTGAGGCCATCGTTGCCTCTTCGGCCCTTTTGGCTGCAGCCCTAAATCGAGCCACTTTCGCGAACTCCCCTTGCTGGATCTGGCGGATCCGCGCGAGCTGCTCTTTTGTCACCGGTCCGGACTTGCTGGGTCTGGCTAAGCAGGCCCGGGAATCCGATCGGTGAGGTGGGTTCTTTGTTTGTGCTGGTTGTTTGATTTTTTTACGTCGGCGTCGGGTAGTTCTATAGGGACTGGGCCGTTCAGCACATGACTGTAGTCATGAGCTGTGGACGGGCACGACGTTAAATTCAATCAAATCAAATGTTCCAAATAGTTACTGTAGTGTTTGAGCCTGGATTAAATTCTTCTTGATAGAGATCTTCTATTTGCTCTGATAGCTTCACCTTTTCTTTCTCAAATGGTAGGTTTTCTTATAATTTGGGTGTTGATGATGCCATTCTAAGGGCCTTTGATGCGTTTTTAGTACGCTAAGTCCAAAGTGACTTATAGTTGACCGTCTACCTTATGCTGTTCTTATCGGTACAGGGAGTTTAGACAAGTAATCGGAATCTTTCCCCGAGCAGAGTCGGATTGATCTGGTACGCAGTTTGCGTACGGTCGCGTTCGGCGATGATCTTTCGGAATACAATGGATATAAGGAAATGGTTAAACTGTCCTTTGCAGCTATTGATGGTGACATGAATTAAGATGATGATTGTGATTGAGATAGATTTCTATATGGTTTATAATACATGATATGCTCAGGCTCATATACCTCGAGCCGAGCAACCAGATTATGTTCCTCTAGATCTAGATTCATCAGAATAATTACTTATTCAGTAAAATTCTCCTAGTCTCAGTTGTGTGTTTAGGATCTTGATTAGGTTTCTAGTAACTAGTCAATGATGTTTCTCATATCCCTGAGACATAGTCATGGTTGATACAACAGGTACAAACGATGAGTCGTGCCTGTACATGACGTTGTGATATAGTCATGATCGTCTGAACAATATCAACTCATGAATGAATCATGTCTCTACATGACAATGGATGAGCTTCAGGTTGATCTAGTAGGGCTAGTTGTGTACGGTCACGCCTATAACTGTAGTGTACTTTTAGAAAGATTAAACTATATGAAGAGAGAAGTATCACAACTACGGGCAATGACTATTTGTACATCCTTCTAGCTCATCCAGTACGTACTCTGTTGGTGAGATTGACATATTGCTCCGCCACTGCCCGTCGTCATCTTTGCCATCTAGCTGACTCTCTCACTTGGCAATTCTACTTCGCCGTCTCACATTCCTTCCTAGCTTTAATATAATGTGGCCAAGTGAAACTTAGTCGCTTGATACAAGATAATATGTAACACTCTCCCTAATACGCCCCCAAACTCCGCTTAGGTCTCCGCCTAAGCTAAACCACAGTCAGACCGTAACATGTAGCCACCGATATTTCCCTTAGAATTATACCTAGCTAATCTATGTACTTTATCTAGTACACTGATCAGTGTTGTAAAAGATTCACGTTATAACTAGTGGATAACAATGATTCCATCTATCTATCTCTGTTCGACACTGAGGGTCAGATGAAAAATGTAAAGTAAAGTTGTATTGATGAAATCTCTGCTCCTCAACTCCTCTCTAGCAGTGATGCTATATACCCATCTGAAACTATCTCGATGAGAGATTATCTTCTCCTCGTTTCCCAAAATTAAATATGAAATATATTACATGTGTTGAGGATCAAAAGATCTCAAGTTGGAGCTTTGACTATCCTGAACATCCTGATCACCATATCCCTGGTGAGATATCAAAGCTCGAGTAAGTTAATCCGAGATGTGTCATCCCAATATCCAATGATTCTCATTACCTTATTCAGTAGGTTCTAAGCTATCAGATGTTTGACAATCTCTCTCTCCTCTAGTAGGAAGTCCACGATATGATGGTACTACTAGAGCCAATAGACCTACATATTACATTAATACTACATAAATATGACATAAATAAAGCATATTTACCGACAGCTACATCTCCCTCAGAAACGAGGGTCGGACCTAAGTACACCCTTGCAACCCTCTTCCGCGTTGTCAGGCAAAGATGTGAAGTAGTCGTGGAATACTGGTGGCAGGAACACAGACCGAGCCGCGACGAAGGGTTGAATATCCCAATGAAACGAAAACGCCCACTAGAGCTAGCACTTCTGACGTAGCCGAATCACTGACTGGTGGCAGCAGGGACAGGACATGGCGATTTCGGGAACTAAAATGAAAGGTCTAGCCACGAAATTCGAAACTGTAGATGCATATGCGGAGGAGAGAAACTTCCCGGGCATTTTGCCGAATGCCAGGTTGCTTTACAGTAATAGAGAGCTTGACGCATGAAACATCATCGATGGGACGGCATATGCTGGCAGAAAATGGTTGGCAAAGATTTCTCCAGATCTTAACAGTAACTAAGTGTTACGAGAGGCAGAGCCTAAACCGGGAGAATGAAGTCCTGCCGAGGTAGAATTTTTTCAAGACAAAGGGTTGTGAGGAAGGATGAAAGGCGTAGGGCGCTTATTTTTCTTGGAATTGATTCAATATTTATGTTTTGTCTGTAGAATTGACAAGCAAACTATGCACTTAGGTTTTAGTGTGTCCCCCCGGGGGATAGACCCATGTCACGCCTAATGTGTGTAGGGCATAAGCCTGATACGACGTGAGTGCAAATCAACTCAAATCTGGTAAACTCCCATGACCATTGAAGTAAATTTTGAAAACACGTCATTTGTTCCGCCAACTTTTTCAGCTAGACTCGCGTTTTTGGAGATGAGCTCTTAGAATATGGGAACCAGGACATAGTTCTACATTTTTCTTAGTCCAATTCTTAGCCCGCACAAAATAAATTCCGGAAAATTTATTAAGCTTGTCGATTCCTATTGCAAATATAAATGAATTATCTCGACCTGTATATTTAGTATAATTTACGGAAGCTGAAGGGGTAACCTACTTCGTTCGTGTCTTTCAGGTAAAATTATACGCCAGAGTAGCAAATTATCATCTTGCTTAAAAGTTTGATGTTCTATACTTGACGAGTCCGTACTCAGCGTTCTTAAAAAATTGCTAATGTAATTTAATATGCTTGTTATTCTGAATGTGAAGTACATGCAAGAATAAAGTTCTTCGCTATTTCCAAAGTTTTTGCTTTGTAGATCAAATGACGGATCTGCCATGATGGTGGCCGCTGGTAGTACCGCACTCCAAACATCTACACAAGTCATCTGTTCCGGTGTCTTAAACGAAATTGGTCTTAATTGCAAAAATCTACATTGTGAATTAAATTCAAACTGGTATCGAATTGGACGTCCTATTTAAAATTTATCAGCAAAAGGACGAAACTTATAAGATCAGAACATGTACCTATATGTGAATGATTATAATCCTTTAGAGAGACGTGTCTAAGCCAAAACCCATCATCTCCCAAGTGTATAAATTTATTCCGAGAAAATTTATATTTAATTTTAATTTCTGGAGGTGAATTGAGATATTCAACACATTCATTGTGCAAATTCGTCTCGATATCGCGTTCTAAGAAATTCGAGCCACACGCAAACCCAGCAAGTTGGTATCCATCGTCTATATATTCCTCGAGTTCTGGGTGATTGTAGTCTATAAATGGGCTACATTTTCGGTAAGCGGGCATAGGATTGACATTTCCATCGTTTGTATCATAAATAACACCCATAAATTTTCCAGAGGCATCTAGGACAACACGATCCTGCCCATATTTACCTGGGATAATGGTAAGCCAGAACGATGAGCAAAGGAGTATTAAATTGCCAAACGTACCAATAGAACGCGGAAAGCCAAACCTTCTTAAGGGCACCACAAACAGATTTTGACTCTCTATGCCAAATAGCTGAGTATCCTCTAACAATGCAGGAAACTTTTGGCGAACTGTTGATGATTTTAGCATTTTAGAGGCGAGCTGCGCGACCTCTACAACCCTATCATGCCACACAACAAGGTCACCACATATATATCCGCTTACATCGGATTGCAGTGATAACTCCAGTAACGTAACGAACGCAAAGAGGAAAGCATGCCAGTCTCTAAGCTTTGCAGGTGATAGATTTATTGTAATCCGCATCTAGAGAAATTATTCTGATATATGGTGTATTTTTTCACTTGTATAAATCAGAAGGTAATCGTAGCCTTCTGAAGGTATCAGAACTGTCAGTGACCATGGTGCCCACTGCTTAGTCTGATGCTGAGTGGATTATCAAGCCACAAATTGCCGTCCAACTGAATCAGCCTGGGTCGAATTTTGGAATGGTCTCGTCGCAACAGCTTTGAAATCTAATTTACGAACATGCAGTTCATGAAATTACTGAAGATTGATCGTGTCCATGTGGATTTAGATAAATTGGCAATAGAATTGGGTTAAATTTAATTTCTTCTATTCTCTTGGCCTTCGGCACGATTGGTCATGCAATCCTGTAATAAACAATTGTAGGAATTCGAGGTAGTCCTCGTTTTCATTTGTGCATATCGTGTAGCCGAATAATGCAGCAAGTGGCCACACCCAAATAGAGATGGCCCTTTAGACGCTGCGGAATAGTTCCACTGTGACGAGTTTTATCTTACACCAGAATACCAAAAATGACATTATTGTCGTACATGATGCCTGGGAGTTATCAGTAACCAAAATAAACAGATAGTGTGGGAAGAATTGGTATTTTATTTTTTTTGATCAATTTTATTGTCCTGTCTGAGTCTATGACTATCTAGCACATTGGGCTCCTCTCTGACCCAGGCCAAACCTTGTACAGTGCTCTTATCGTATTTAATTACTTGAAAGAACATTGATGTATTCCCCTTGATGAATACCCATTCAGCTCAGTGTCAACCCATGGAATTTAGCCACATTCTCCACGGAACCTTGTACCCAAAAAAATGGTAGCAGTGAAAACTGCGTGCGCGGGAATATTTCCTAAAAAAACCTGCAGCCCCAGCCAGGCGAGGCCTAGACGCCCCTCACAAGTACTCATTCGATGATACACTTAGAGGAGCCCTTTGCCCTTCACTATCTCCCCCCTCCAGCCAACGAAACTATGGCCATTTGCGGGTGTATGGCAGCCAGGAAAAATCGCAAAAACCACTGGGTGCGGGGCTCGCCTAACACCGAAATTAGGACTAAATCCGAAGATATAGTGATCCTCCTGAAGCTTTCAAAGAGGCCGGCCAGCTGAGCGCTGCAGACTTGAGGGTACCTCAGGAAATTCAAACTCTGCCTTTCTAGCCTCCTTCCAACTCCTTCCCGAAGGTCGTGATAAAATTTCAGATACGTCTTGACAGAGCGTGATTGCTGTATACAGTCAAGCCCCTGTTAAGACGATGTAATCGGGGCCGTGAAAAATATCGACATACAGAGAACATTGTTGCTCCACAGATTTTCCCTTTTTTGGCGGCATTTCTAGCACCATTCTAGTAAAAAAACCCTGGTTATAACAATATTCAGAGGTTGAAGAACGATGATTGTCTAATCAGTAAATGTATTGGAACGAGGTCTGTTCTGGAAAAAAATATCGTCTTAACAGGGGTCTTTCTGTAGTTGCTTAGCCTGACTTCTTTTGTATCGTCCAGTGCCCTTGGAAGAGGCCTGGACTCGTGAGACTTGGGCTTGCATAAGTCTGGATCCAGTCCAAAAGCGAAAGCACGATCTGCGTGTAGGGATGTCTGACTAGTTATGATGCTCTTTTTTATTATCTTCATATAATTTGATGTGTACAACTACCTATGGGGTACAATAGTACGATTGTCAAAATGACTGTGACTCGATCCCTGAACACATCAATTCCATTGGTTTGGTCTTCGTGCAGGTCCCTTGTCTAGTTTGTAGACAATCCATCGATATTCCATGAATGTCTAGGTTATGGGGACAGTTTTCAACTAGAACAGAATTGTGTAATGATCCTCATTTGAAAATAGAAATTAAAAAATCAAACGAAATTATCTAAACACATACATCTACTCCAAAAATAATTACTCTGCACAACAAAAGTCTACATCGAAGCCCTCAGATTGGCTCGCACCTAAAATGAAAGCGTACTAGATGTTTTGTATCAGTCTTCTCCGTCCTAATACTTTGTGTACCCTCCATTTTCCTTTATCACCACTAGTCATCTTTCGTGCATGTTAACCACACTTAACAGAGACTTCCTCCGAGCTATGCATCTGCTGTAACCCATTTTATTGAGGGCATTTGAAAGTTAATGCTCATTGCATCCCCAGTGGCTGAAGGGTCCTATTGCTAGTTCCAAAGAGCACATCTGTCGATTTTCAGGAGATTCCTGGATGAAAGCCTTAAGCTCATCAACTTGTTCCGCGCTTAATTTAGGTGAGCTTCCTTTGCAAGACATAGGATTCTCAGTCTCTCGAGCAAACGCAAATTGCACTTGCCTTCTTGTGAGGCCAATTTCGTCGGATATATGTTGTTATGTCAAGCCAAGTCTTCTTAATGTTCTTCATTCAATACATTGATCGCGTGTTAGATGCTTGCAAACTTTAGTATCTGAAGCAGACTTTTCGAGAGACATTGATTGCTAGAATAGAGGATGAATTGATAGTGGTGTTATTTTTCAAGGGCCTTTTTTTTTTGCATCAGATTTTAATTTCGTATGCTGCTATCTAGCTATGACACAATATCAGAGGAAAGTACAGAAAAGATGACTCAATTTACAAGGGGAGCACCCATGCCTCGGATTTCATTTGCAAGTACCACTGCAAAGTCTTGGCGAGGAGGGCAAGACTGAACACCTGTACGCGGTGTCCTCTACGAACCTGGGAGTGAAATATTCTCCCAGAGCCAAGTTCAGTCAAACTTCGCAATACCGAATCAGTTGGCCCACGAGGCAATGATTCAAATTACTCCACCATATCAATCTTTCACTCCCAACTAAATCGATTCCTACCTAAGCCTCATCAAGTCTATAAGTACGACCTAGTACATCCTAATTCCAATGACCACACTTCTTTTCGACTTTCTTTGGCCTTAGCTGGTCGCCAGATACACGCCCACGCCGATATTTACACCCGACAGAGGAAGCAAAGCGTGGCACACAAATCTGGAAGACAATTCCTTGAGATGGATGTGAGAGGGATCAGGACAAGTTAATAAGATGATGCAGAGGATTGGATACAGTCTCGACGGGCGTGGAATTTTGAATCTTGGAAAGGAGTTTTTACAAATTGAGCTTTGTGCGTGCCAAGACTTCGGTTGCGAGAGTGCAGGCGACACTATAAACACCGCCATGGTTGGATGGTGCGGTGGTACATCGTCTTGGCCGGTCTGCCAAGTAGAGTCTGGATAGCTTGAACACATATCCCACTTGAGACAGTAGATCGCTGGTTCGAATCCGGCAAAACACAACCACATTTCTCGCGGCGCTGGTATGCATGGATGTCGAAGGCATGCTTGGATAACCAAAGGTTTTTAAATTCCCTTTGGTGGGTACTAACGGAGGAGGGTCGACTGTTTGTGTAAGCAAACATACCTCATAGTGGTATTTGCAAATGAAATCCAGAGTATGAGTGTCTCTAACGTCAAAAGAGTCATCCCACATGTATACATAGCGCCGGTCATGTGTCATAGCTAGATAGCTGAATACACATTAAATGATTTAAAAAAAAAAAAAAAAAGTCTTGGCGACTTTATTTTCACCCCAAGTCAACCCTCATCCGTGAATACCGACTTGGGGGAACTTCTCATAAACCCCGAGTTATCCAGACATGCCTCCGTAATCCATCAACTTTTCTCCGCGCGAAAAGTAATCTGAGATGTCTCCTTCCCAAGTGGAGTAGATACCCAAGCTACTCAAACTTTACCAGAGAACACCACCAGGAGGCGGATCATAACACCTTCCATCGTCGGTTTGTTTTTACAGTGTCACCTGCACTCTCGTAAGCGAAGTTTTGGCGCGCATAAAGGTCAGTTTGTGAAACTCCTTGCCATAATTCGAAATTCCATGCCCGTCGAGACTGTATCCATCCTGTGCACCATTTTGTAAACTTGTTCTTATCCCTCTCACGTCCATGCCAAAGAACTATCTCCCAGATTTGTGCACCACACTCTGCTTACCCCTGCGGACATAAATATAGGCGCGGGCGTGTATTTGGTGACGAGCTGAGGCGAGAGAAAGTCGAGGAGAGGTGTGATCATGGAAATGAGGATGTAGTGGAATATACTCGGAAACTCGATGAGGATATAGTGGGGTCGATCTTTATGGGAATAAAAATTTGATTTGGTTTAGAGTAACTAATCATTACCTCGTGGGCCAACCTAGTTGGTTTTGCTAAATTTGAGTGAACCTTGGCCCTGGGAGAAAATCTAAAAATATCTCCATTCATGTGTGGTCACACCTGCGACATAATTAGGTTCCACGATGTGCACATTAGGAAATGAGGAATACATCGAATTCCAATTATAGTTTATCAGAAGAATGCATGATCACTCGGGCCAAAGGCCAAGACAATAAATGAGATTCAAATCAATCCAGCTCGAACCTAATCGATAGCCAATTTAACATAATCTACCTGTATACGCGCAATTGTCAGTAATTTTATGAATTACAATTTCATAAATTAGATTCCATGGTCGTAGCGACGAAGTCACTCCAAATTTTGTCCTAGGCTGATTCAGTTGGACGGCAATTTACAGCTTGACAAGTCCTTCATAGTCTTAGGCTCAGAAGGGACTGTAATTAAATTTTTATCTTACGGCTTGAAAATTCACGCAGTATCAGACTAAGAAGTGGGCACTTTAGTTTTAACAAATCTAATACCTTCACACAGTTACGATTCCTTACCCATTAATATAAGTGAAAAAAACGACCAAACGTTTAAGTCGTTATTCCAGATGTGGATTTCAGTATACCTATCAACTGCAAAATTAAGACACTTGCTTGCTATTCTCTTTACAGCCACTACGTTACTGAATGTTTCCCTGCAATCTGATGTAAGTGGATACATCTGTGGTGACCTTGCTGTGTGGCATGATGAAGCTATAGAGGTCGCACGGCTCGCCTCCAAATTGTTAACACCAATGAATCCTCGCTATGTTTTTCCGGCATTGCTTGAGGATACTAAACT